CATTTTATTTAACATTAAAAATATCTTTATATTTGTATAATTTTTTGCAAAAATATCATTCTATTAGTATTATAAGATACTAATTTTTGTAATTTTTTTTAATTTGTACTATATTTTTATATAATAATTAATATTCAAAGATTAATCCATAAAAAAAAAATATGATCGTTAGAGCCGGACGGAAGTAATAGTATTTATGCAAAATAGTGAAGTTATAATTACTAGAAAGGAAAATATATACATTAAGACGGAACGGACGAAAATGAAAAGTAAAATATTGAATTAAATAGTTGTTTAATTTAATATAAATAAATATTGATTTAATATTTAAAATTTTAATATAATATAAAAATAAAAATAAAAATTTAATTTATTGTTATTTTTATTGTTTTTTGCTTTTATAACAGTAAAAATTGGATCCTACAAACAAACAAGAATACTTTGTATAAAAAAATAAAAAATTAAAATCAGATAATAATTTAGAGTTCATTTAATTAAATAAAAATGAAATTATGAAGACAAGATACTAGAAAAGTATTTGTAGAAAAAAAGGAATTTGCTATAAGTGACAACGAATTATTCTACTCTCTCCGTCCCGAAACTATAGTCTTGGTTGTGTTGGGCACGAGATTTAAGGAATATTGATATTATATTGATAGTGGATAAAAAGTATAGGCAAAATATATTTTTGCCCTTGTGAGTGTATTAGTTTGAAAGATAGTGGCAATTGTGTAATAATAATGAAATAGTATGAGTAATTATATAGTGATATGGTTATTTATGAAAATAAGACTATTGTTTTGGGACGGACAAAAATAGTAAACAAGACTATTGTATTGAGACCGAGGAAATATTTGGTAATATAGATAATTCGAATTGAGAATTTGTGACATAGAAATGTACTTCCTGTCTCACATATGATGTTTATATTGTCGCTTTTGTTCGTCTCACGTATCACATTTCACATTACTTTTCTTTTTTGGAAAAAACTAACCGACCTTAATATCATTTTAATTATTCTAATTATTTATATATATTTTTTAATTTTAAATAAACTAATTAGTTATTTTAATTTTAATAATTAATTTTACTAATATATTCTTAAATATTAATTTGACTTTATGCTTAACTTTTTGCATAATATTTTGTTAGGGGAAATATAATGTTTTTATTGAGGATTGAATAGTGATTACTTTTTATTTGAAATAAAAAACAAACACACCATTTATTAGTAATTAGTTAACAATTTTTTTATAATGATCCTATTTTATTCTTTACCTATTTTTTTTATTATTAAAATACTATTCTCTTCGTCCACGTAAAATATTTATATTTTGAATTTATGTTCATTTCACATAATTTATATTTTTAAAACATATAATTATACATTTTAATTACATTTTAAATTTCATAAATTTATATATTTTTTTAAAAAATTTTGATTAAATTATTTTAGTTATCTTAATCTTAATTTATAATTATTTTTATTATACAATAATTATTTTTATCAATAAATTTCTTAATGATTTTCTAATTATATTTTACCTAAATTTTTGTACTACCGTAGATATATTATCCGGGTAGGAGAAAGTATTAATTCTAGGATGTGTTTCTTTTGCTTAAAATCTCAAATTTCTACTATTTGAATTCTGCGTTTTCTCACAAAATATCTATTTACACATTATTTTAATATTAAATCCAAACCAATATTTTTCCAAACCATCAAAACAAAAATACACACTCTCTAAGTCCCATAAGGGATGGCCTAGTAGTGTAGGGGTTGGATTTGTGACCAGGTTCGGCCGGGAGTTTACCCAGTGGGCACATTCGGGTAGCGGCTGCGGATTCTCACGTCATAAAAAAAAAAAATACCCACTCTCTACACATGAGCATTGTGATATAATTAGACTGGACTGAAAAAGTACTCTCTCCGTCCCATAATTAGATATCCATTTATTTTTTCCACGTAGAAATAGATACTTTGTTATGGGATAGAGAGAATATTAATTTAGATTTTGGAGCACACTCAGACACCCAAATATTCATCAATGATTCTCATGGGCCGAGCCGGCCCAAAACATAGCGAAGGCTCAATCCAGCATTTTTTATTTTTTATTTTTAAAAATCACATTAGATATTTTTTTACTATCAAAAAATTTTGGAAATTTAAAATATGATATTGATTTTGGCGTTTTTTTTGGGGGTTATTATTATTATTTTTCAAATTGAAAATGTGATATTGTATTTTGAAATGGTTTTAGATAGATATTTTTGAATTGTAATGATTATATAATAATTGATATTAATTGATTATATGAAAATAAAATATTAATTTAATATGTTTGATGAAAAATAAATAAAATAAAATTTTATAATATTTTCATAATTTATTTGTGTTTAAGAGTTTTTTTTTTTTTTTTGGGTAGTCTAAAATATTCAAGGAAACGGCCATATAGGAGTACGAGTTATTGAAAATCATATTGTTCAATTTGTATTTTTTTGTTGACAATTTTTTTTTTCTTAAATATTATAAAAAATATTATATATACACATTAATTTAATATATAATATACATATTGCACACTCACAATATATAATGATTCAAATATTACTTTATTTGTCCAGACTAATTATGCTATAATATTAAGATATACTTCCTCCGTCAACAAACTAATGTTTCTATTTTCCTATTCAATAACTATTGTCCTATTTCTTTTTTTAAACACAAATTTTACATTTTTACCCTTAATTCATTTATTACTTTAAATCTCTACCATACAATTAAGGGCAAATTTGTCTATTCATAACAAAAAGACAATTACCTAAAAAACCGTGCAAATATACTTTAGGACAATAGAAATTGGACGGATGTAGTATATATTAAAAAATAATAGTATTTTAATATAAAACTGTAGTATGTAAAAAATAAAATGAGCGTATTGTAAAATTTTTATTAAGGAGTTAATAATAAAATAGTAGGGTAAATAGAAAAAATAGTGACAAATTGGTTATTATTTGTTAAAATAGAGATGATAAAATTATGAATAAAATTGTTTACTATAAATAGATTAAGTATAAGTTTAACAGACAAGAAAAATACTCCCAAAGTATTCATTTTTTCATTTTGGTGTGTCCATAACAAAGTATCAATTTCTTTTTTTAGTAAATGTACTACTTACCTAATATTATAAATACCCTTACAATTTCCAATATATTACACAAATATCATTACCTTTATATCATACAATACTAATAAGGTCATTTTAGTCATTTCCACTTTATTCATACTATATTTCAATATAATATTAATATTTTTAAAACTCCGTGCAAAAAGCAAATGAATACATAATTATGGGACAGAAGGAGTATGATATAATTATCTCAGATGAAAAGAATATCTTTTATGTTAACGACACGATTCCTTGTCATGCAAATTCTGTGGAAAAAGCAAACGAATATATACATATGAGACAGAGGGAGTATTTAGAACAATTACTCAAATTCAAAATTTTACTATTTTAATCCAAACTCCCAACCAAATACACAACCATGTGAAAAATATTGTATGTGAAGAAATAAATGAGAATATGTATTGTGTTGTTGATTGTGGTGTGCTGTTAATTTTGTTTTGTATTTATATTATATTAACATCAATGACAAACTATTATCTTTTATTATATCATATTCTCTTCATTCACCTTTAAGGGTCACATTTACATTTTAAATTATTGTATTTAACATTTAAAATATTCTTATATTTGTATAAGTTTTTGTACAAATATCTTTCTATTAGTATTGTAAGACACTAATTGAAGTATTTATACAATTTTTTCTTAATTTGTACTACGTTTTGATATAATAATTAATATTTAAAGATAAATGAAACCCTAGAGTCGGACGAATATAATATATTGTTAATTGTTATATATTGTGCTAGCCGTGTGCATCGTGGTGAAAATTTAAACACAATAACTTCAGCCTTATAAAATATTTCATCTGTCTATTTATATATTTACTATTTCTATTTTAATCAGTCTTTACATTATTTGTCATTTCTTTTTTAACAAAATAAATTTTAGAACATTTGAGGGAGTATAAGTGATAAAAAGATAGTTGACAATATTTTTAAATATTTAGTTATAAATTAAAGAAATTGAAAGATAAAATATAATAAAAATAGTGATATTTGTTACAAATAAGCGTTCAAATAAATGTTCAATAGAAAATAATAGTTAAATTGCCAAAATTAGTAATGATAAATTTAGCTGACATACTAAATCGAAAGTAAAAATAAATTTTACATACAAAAATAGTATATTTTAATCATATTTTTAACTTCACCCATTTTAGTAATTGTATTATGTATTAAACATTACAAATATTCTTCTAATTTACAATATATTACACAAATATCATTATTTTTATATCATACAATACTAATAAATCTTTTTACATTTATTTCTATTATATCTCACTATAATCTCAATATTTTAAAAATTTCGTCAAAAATACTTTGCATAGATAGATATAAAATATGAAACTACTATGAAAATATTCTTTATGTCCAACAATGATATTATATTTTAGTAAAATATAATTTTAAAATAATTAAATATATATTTTAAATTTATTCTAATTCAATATATCATTTCATAAACTACCTACATAATCAAGTGATGGAGTGTTGTTTTTCGAACGCTCCTCATAAACAACTTCGACGGTTGAGAACTATTTCTACCAAAATACTCCCTCCGTCCCAAAACTATAGTCTGAATTGTGCTTGATACAAAATTTAAAAAATATTAATATTATATTAATAATCCGTAAAAAGTACAGATAACTTTTTTGCCCTTATGAGTGTATTAATGTAAAAAATAGTGGCAATTGTGTAATAATAATGAAAAAATAAAGATAATTTTACAATAATAAGATTATTTATGAAAATGAGACTATTGTTTTGGGACGGACAAAAATAGTAAACAATTTCCCCGAATCACAAAGGCACACAAAAAAACAGAGCTTAAACACAACACAAAAAGGCAAAACAAATCATTCAATCAACATCTCGAACACAAACAAACAAACAAAACATGCGATGATAACTTCGCGTAAAAAGCAAATGTAATAACTTAAGAACACGCGATGATAAGTTACCTTCTAATTAGTGAGCTCCATAATCGCGGACACGATATCTCCATCCGAGTCCTTGAGAGCTTTCACAGCTCTAGGTCTCGACACCCCGGCTTGCGTCATAACCAGCTCTATGTCCTTCGGCTCGACACCTGTCTCATCTACATCGTCTTCATCGTCCTGTGGGGCAACAGCCGGCTCGGTTTTTGGCGCGACATTTCCGAGATTAGGAGCCTTGAACTGCTCGGCAGCTTGAGTCTGGAGCTGCGAGCTCAGATCCTCGATCTTGGCCTCACCAAAGATCACGTACGTGTCTGAATTAGGGCTCTTGAAAACGTCCGGTTTTGATATGACGAAGAGGATCTGAAATGCCCATTTGGAGGAAAGATTCAAATATTTAGTTTTCTATATGAAATGGCGAAAAATGTTGTAAATGTTGAATTTAAAGGCGGTAAGAAACTTACGTTCTTGCTCTTCTTGACGGTGACTCGACTGACGCCGAGAATTGGCTTCATTCCGAGTTTGAGCATCGCCTTGCGGCTCTTCTTCTCGCTCCGACTCTGCTTTGACTTGCCTCCTGCTTCGTGTCCTTCCGGAAGAAATAAAACAGTATATGTGAAGAATATTAAATAAAAAAAAAATATGTGTTTTTTCATAGGAACGCCATCGAATTTGATTAATTACTCATTACTCGATAAAGTGGGTTTGTTTCTTTACCAAAGTTCTTCAACACATTTTTCCAAAAAATTAATATACTACACACATTCATTATTTTTATATTATCTACACAATTTCCTATACCTCACATAAAAAAAAAAAAAAATCTTTTTCAAACCAAAACATATACACACTCTGTAAAATAAGGTGAAATGTATTAAATATCAATTTTTGAATAAAATAAATAAACAATTAATCAACTCTTTATTAAGAGTTTGTAAAATGAAGATGAGTAGTAACTTAATTTTTACAAAAGTGAAATGAAGAGTCTGATCAATTTTTTCTTTATTTTATGGCATTTCACTTCATTTATTTGCATAATACTTGCATAGTTAGACGCATTTCTATGAACGTCGACGTTAGGATGAAATATAAGGAAATATTTTACACAAATAAAACATAGGTTATTTTATGCATCTATAATAAAACACATGTGGATAATACACAATTTACCTAAAAAAATGTAATTAATCGATAAGATACTAGTTCGAGAATGCACAGCGGTGGCAGCAGAAACAATAGCTTTGTTCAGTGTAGATATCAGCAACTCATTTTACACGTCGTAAATCTTAACTCTTCATTACCATTCAAATTAAGATAATACAATACTTTAAACTGAAAATGCTACAAAAGACATCCAAACAAAGCTTCTTTATTTACTACATTTCAAGTATAAATTTAAGAGTCCGTAAACATGTAGCATTCATAGAATTTTTTTTGGGTGTTCAGTTTCAGCTCTGAAGAATATGAGAAAAACATTGGATTGCACTACCCCGTAAATGATATACCTCCTTCAAATTAAATGGTGCATAAAAAATTACTTAAATTAGGCCAAAATTAAAGAAAATCAAAACTTAAGAACCAATCCAATCCTCAATAAACATTCCAAAAAACGAAAAATCCACTTGCGAAATACATTTGTTTCGTAGATAGCAAAAACTAAATTATCCAGATTACTTTTTTTTTAAAGAAAACCTTATCATATACAACAAGAGCCTGGCAAATGATTTCTACGAAATCCAAAATATACAAAAGGGCGAGGAGATTTACTGCATTATTTAGCTAACATTAGCATCTTCAATCTCATGAATACACATAACCAAAATAAATAAATATATTACCTTCGGCGTCATCTTCCTCCCCTTCATCATCTTCATCATCATCATCGTCCTCATCGTCCTCGATCACAGGATCATCGTGCTGCAATCAATAATCAATTCAACACATCAATAATAAGACATTTATGCATATGTTATTCAACTTTCTACATCAAAAACTTTACTTCCCCTGCCCAGGCCACAGGATTACGACAACAGAAGGTCAATGGCAATATGCAACAAAATTAACTGCTTTTACAATACAATGGAAATCTCTTCAAGTCATCCTCACTTTCTTCACACTCTAAAAATGCCCGAACCTTGCGCTTTTTACAATCTAAATATCATTTCTAGCACAATATGCATATAAATTTCTAAATCGATTGCTTTACAAATTACATTACAAAATCAACTGCTTTACAATACAATGAAGGTCTCCTCAAGTAATACTCCCTTTCTTCACACTCCGAAAAATGCCGAAACCTTAAGGTCTTTTTCAATATAAATATCATTTCTAGCACAATATACATACAATTTTCCAAATGCAGCTTCTCAATCATAACCCCAACAACTGACAAAATCATCAAACATCACATTTCAACAGCACAATCTTGCAATTAAATCCACTGATGAAACCATTAGCATCGTGAAGAATCAAAAAGTAGAACCAGATGAAATCAATTCCTTACAATTTTACGTAACGGAGAATCACATTAACTGCGGTCACACCCAAAATTACTATCCAGATAAACCCTAGATGAACAATTGTACGAAAATCACATCTTAAACAACCACTCCAACAATCACACTAAGTGCTCAAAATGCAAATCGAACCGAAAAATCCTTTCATATTCCGAAATAAATAAATAAAATACTTCCAGAAGAAATTCAGCAGCCCCGAAAAGGGTTTGAGAGATTGAGAGTGAGCAATGGTGAAAGAGATTACATCAATCTTCTGCTGCTGAAGATGGGTGGCCAGCAGCTCTTCCTGCGACTGAGTCATGGAGATAAAAGCGGCGGAAAATCGAGAGAAATTTGCCGAAAACGCCGAGGGAGACAAGAGGCTTCAAACCCTAGAGGAAGACAAATATAAAAAATAAATAAATAAATATGTTTCAGAAAAAATAATAATAATAATAAATCGTTCGTTAAGACTTTGGAATCAGTTTCTTAAATTTCATTATTTAAATTTTATGGACTCGTTGATTTAAATTTTGATTTATTTTTTTTTTCTTTTTGAGATATGTAATATAAAAAATTATATTTTAGTTGAATTTTTTAATATAAAAATAAAATATAAATATTAAAAAATTGATTGGATGAAAATTGTTTATATTTTATTTAAAAAAATGTTTTATTAGTCCGAAATAAATATATTCATTCTGTTATTTTGATCGTTTGAAATAAATTCATTTATTTTATTCTTTTAAGTAATTATGTTTTCAATAACTTAAAAAGAAAATAAAATAAATTTTGATTACAGAGGAGTACAATTTACATATTTTTATGAAAACACAACCATCATCCTTTAACTAATTTATTCATTTTAGGAGTAAATAACGGTCACTTTCGGATAGCGACTGCGAGTTTTCACGTCATAAAAAAAATACAGTATTATATTTGTAATATTTTCTTTGAGTGAAATAATTTATTATTATTATTATTTTTAAATACTATTGTAAATAGTATCTCTGATCTATTTTAGGATCGCCCCACTTTGAATTTTGTTTTTAAAAAAATAAATATAGTCTCACTTTTTGAATTATACTATCTAAATTATTTATGTTTGTTGTGTTTTTGTCTCAATATATTGGTGCATTTTTTCAAATAATTTTTGTAAAAATAAGATTATACGGATTAAGCAATAAAATTAAAATAAAATAACTTAGAATAATAATAAATTCGAATGAAAGTTAGATTAAAATTAAAAGACATGAACACATACGATGATAATTAAAAAGATAATAAACAAACAGCGAATTGAACAAGCTTCTGTGTTTATATGTTGCCAACAGAGAGAAAGGGAAATTCAATTCGGCGAAGTTAAAGTCCATCGAGGATTATTGTTTCAACGGCGATTCACAGCAACTCCGATTGTATCTCCTCTAATCAGCAATAACGAATTTCGAATGACGGCATAGGTCGCCTCTTTTCTTTCTCCGGCGAGAAGGACGGTGGTGTCGGTTTAGACTCAAAATGTATATGACCTATAGTAACTATGCCTCACGATAGAGCTGGGCCGACACTTTAAGCCTCAACACCCATCAGATATAGCTTACAAAAAAGGGATTCAAATCCGTACCAAGAACTTTTATAAAAAGACAAAAAAGCTTACCAAAAATGTTGACACATAAGCGGCTCTCCCTCAAACTTATATGGTTCAGCACTCAAATAACCAAACTAACTAAGTCTTAACTAATTAATCACATGTAGAGCTGTTAACGATCCGAGCCGAGTCGAGCCAAATTTTAAGTGTTTGTTAACGTTCGCGAACAAGGCTCGTGTTCGTTCGTTAAGCTTTCGAGCTCGTTAAGAATTTTTGTTGTTTGAGCTCGTGTTCGTGTTCAGCTCGTTTAGGCTCAATTAAGCTCGTTTGAGCTCGTTTGTCTTATTTTTTAAATTTATATATAAATTATAAAGAAAATTTTAAATTATTTTATTTATATATTTAAAATTAATATTTTATTTATTTATAAATTATAATTTTATATGTATATATAATATTTATAATAAATATATTATTTAAACAAACGTTCGCGAACAAAGCTCGGGCTCGTTCGTTAACCAAACGAGCCTGTTTATGTTGTTAGGCTCGACTCGTTAACATTCGCGAACGAGCTTTAACCGAGCCGAGTTCACGAACGACTCGGTTCGTTTAACAGCTCTAATCACATAATTATTGAGTAAACTATTAGGGGGATTAAGAAATAAAGAAGGGAATTAGGGATTAAGTTGGGTCGAAGGTCAGACTACAAAATGAGTCAATTTATTATTATTATTATTGTTATTTTTATCGAGAGATAAGTTAGATTAAACTACAAAAAACAAATTTTCAATAATTCTCCACATATTTTGGTTACGATTTAACAAACCTCCATTACATATATATATATATCCTATTTATTGTTATACTTTTATTATTTTTTTGTCACTCATTACACTCACGAACAAACGTTAGTGCAAAATAACATATTACATAGAGAATATATAATTACTAACATGCATCTATATATTGAAATACACATCAATCTATCACGTAAAACACACAATTACTACAATAAAACAAGCACAAAGTAAAATTTAATAGATTCAACCTATAAATTCTAAGAAAGCACAAAATTATTATTGTACAATTAAACAACATATATGCACATTCATAAAGAAAAAGAATTACACGTTGAATATTAATCTCAAAATCATATATGGAAGTACTTTTCCACTTTATTTGGCGTCAATTAAAGAGCACAAAGTTCTACAGTTTAGGCCATCTCCAATCTATTTTTCTATTTTTTCTAAAAATTTTTTTCTCAAATGTTAACTCCACTTCAACCCACTATATTTTTTTCCTTAAAAAGAATATTTCACGTATATTATTTATTTTGATACAATTACATAATCTTTATTCAATTTATTTACATATTAACTCCAAAAAAATATAAAAAAAAATACTCTTTTCAATAAATTTAAATTAATTTATTTAGGCAATTTTTAAAATAATAACAATAAATAAATAAATTTAAGGGAAAAAATAAATAAAGACAATCACCCACCTAATTGAACCCAAATAGAATAAAAATAACATTAAATAAATATATTTAAAATATCAAATATATAAAAATTTAAACTTTCAAGGGCTAAATTGCAAAAAAAAAAAAAACATTTCCTTCAAATATGGAGAAATGCTACCGTGTTTCTCAAAAAAATAGAGAAGAAAATAGAACTGGTTAGAAGATTTTTGCTTCAAATATAGAGTATTTTCTCCAAGATTGGAGTCTATTGGAGACGCTCTTAGGCTGTGTTCGTTTGTGGTTTTTTATAGTTTTTTCTTTTTTTGTGCTTATAAAAATACGATACACAACAGTTCCAATTTAGAGGACAAAATTCCGATGTTAAAGCGACACTGCCTCATACAGTCGAGGCACCATCGAAGTGAGTTTAAGAAAATATTTCAGGGTATTTTTGTTTTGTGAATGTCAATTTTAGTGCATTGTCCTAATAAATTTTTTTATCACATTTTGTTATTAATATTATCAAAAAAAATATATTTCTTTTGTTGGTCAAATTTAGAAACATTTTATTTGCAATTTAGAAATGAAATATCCCTTATGTTTGAGGGAGGAGGGAAGTAATATATATTTACACAATATATAACATATATTTTTTTATCAATTCATAAAAATTTACTACTTCACTATAAAATATTATTATTTTTTATTATTAACATACTTCTTATATCTAATATAAAAATACTTAAAACTAAAAATACTAAATAAAATTCTTGATATTTGACCTTTAAGTATATAAAAAATTAATTTTATTATTTGATTTAAATTAAAAAATATTTATAAATTATTTTTTATAATTATATTAATATAGAAAAATATATATTTAAGGCCCATTCTTTTAATTTTTCCTTGGATCCTATAAAATCAGGAACGGATCTGCTCTTAATATCTGTTTATTTTGTATTTTATGTATTGTTTTTGTGTTTTTTATATTAATATTTCTAAAATAAAATAATTATTAAATAATATAATATAATATAATATAATATTATTTTGTATAAATATTGATGCTGGATACAATATTTAAATAAAATTGCCAACATTCAAATTAAACATAAACAAGCACTTAAATAATATATAGTGAACAAATTTGATGCATTGATCCAAACCCTACATTTTCACATGTCTTCAATTAAGCCCACCAAAGTATAAAAGAATTACCCTAACATTTTAATGAACACATTAGATTTCATGTGACAAATATTGTGTAAGAATATTCAAAAATAATATATATATATATATATATATAAATGTTACAACTTGTACATCATTTATTTATTTATTTATTTATTGTACATTACACATGAAGGCATAGGTGGGGAAAATGTTAGATGTCATTAAATCACAACCACTTTGGGACACTTTTCAAAACCTTTGGATTGTGATAGAATTTCATAAATTGATATATATATATATATATTATTGTATAGATTTATGAAGTGGAACCTGCAGCCGCTATTCGAAAGTGTACACTGGGTAAATCTCCGGCCGAACCTAATACCCTGCAAATCAGGTCCAACGGGTGTGATCGAGAGAATCACACTAGGCGAACCATGTGTGGCAGGTGACCTGAGGCGTCGGGGTTTAAACCAATGACCTCACAGTCACAAATCCAACCCCTACACCACCATGTCATCCCTTACGGAACTATTTTATAAATTTATATAGACAATAATGTGGTTGAATAGATTTTGGGTATTTAGTCTGTGTCTTAAACACAAATCAATAATATTCAATATGTACCGTTAATATTCATAATATTTTTTTTTATTTAAAAAAATATTATATCAAAATACTATTTAAATCAAAATTCAAAATCAAACCAAACAAATCCTTAGATTTTTTGACGAATGTTAAATGAATCGATTTGAAATCAAGTCTTGAAATTGCCTGTATCGTGAAATGAAATTAATGAATTTGATATAATTATTTAAATTACTTTTAATCCAAATTATCGGGTGTATTTTGCAAGATCATATATTAATTTGTATAATATTTAGGCTTCCTTTTGGTTGGAAGAATTTAGATTAAAAATATTTCCAAATAATTTTTTCGATTTATTGATTTAATTTGATGATACGATTAATTTTAAATGTTCAAAGTTGGTCATGAATTTCAAACCAATCTTTCTTAATATTTCAAATATTATTTTATATTTTATTTGCATATACTTTCCGCAACTAAATGATGAATTTTAATTAGGGTAAAATGTTTTGTTAATCCGTAACTGGACCCCTTTATCATTTTAGTCCCGTAAGTGGAGCATGTCGCAAACTAGTTTCATAAGTGAAAATTTTCTGCTGTTTTAGTCCTCCGGCGCC